TTGGTAAGGTGCAATGTTTGTAAAATTTGAAGTTTAGGGGTTAGATATGTTAATACATAGAAGTTGAGTGTTATGTATGTAATTCTTCTATAAAAATATCAGGAAGCAGAGAAAGGAAACATATAATTAAAATACTATCATTAACAAAACTCATTTAGAGAAACAGAAGAATAAGCTTATGCTTTAACAAAATATGTTATGTAGCTTTATGTGTGGAAACAAAATAATTGTAAAAGTAATATATTGAATATTGGACGAAGAGCATATAGACGTATAAAATGAAGTAAAAGCATATCGCGTCGTGCATTCTTGGTTGATAAAACTCAACCAAAAAACCAAATCACCAATGGTGGAAGAAACTGTAATCATTGCTAATCTACTTTTGGGACTAAAACTTGGCTTTGCCGTCCTTCCCCTTATGCTACCTTATTTATCCCAAGTGCTTTTAATGCAAAAGCATTGCATTTAGGTGATTAAAATACATAACTTGGTTTGCAAATTCAGCATAGGATGGAGAATTAATTATGTTCATTTGAAGATAAACACTCCAAAATGCTCAAATTACCTCTTCAACTGATGTAAAAGGTAGCAATTTGCTCTCCTTGCATAACAATTATGAATATCCTTGCAAACTTTTGTGCAACTCAGAGATTTATTGTTTATTAAGTGACATAAAGAATATCCTTGCAGTCAGTTAATCCAAATTTATCAAATCCATATATTGTTAAATCCAGAATTAGGTTTGGTTCAGCTGAAGTTAAATCTAGTTAGAATTATTGTTAAATCCAAAATTAGGTTTGGTTCAGCTGAAGTTAAATCTAGTTAAAATTGTTTGATGTGTTTGGCATTTTATTTCAGCTTTTTAAAGCCATGGTTTTTTTCCCAAGTTAAATCCATCAAATAGTTGGATTTAACAAATCCGGATTTACATCCAAAAATAAGGAAGGGAGAGAAAAAAGGATTTAATGGGGCGCTGGATTTAACTTCCCGTTTTTCATGTTTGGCTTGATATTCAACCTAAATCCTACTAAAATTACCCTACCAGACACCCCCTAAATCTACTAATGCATGTTTTTATAAACCATATAAGGCATTTAAAGTTGCCACTCTCATCATATCTGATAAGATCACAATTCCCTTAACATTAGGTATGTATCGGCAAATGAGGTTGGAAAAGCAATTAAGACATTCCATGCTTTGGAGAAATTCAATGTAAAAGCCGATTTGGATGCATTTTATGCTCTTCTCCACGCTCTTTGCAAAAACAAAAATGTTGAGGACGCCGAAGAACTTCTTCTTTTGAAAAGAGAATTTTTTCCTCTCGAAACCGCTGGATTCAACATTGTTTTGGATGGCTGGTGCAATATTCTGGTTGATTTGGTTGAAGCCAAAAGAGTTTGGAGAGAAATGGAAAAAAATTGCATTACACCAAATATTACTTCCTATACTTGCATAATTGGTTGCTTGGCAAAACATGGAAAGCTCTTTGATTCCATAAGGTTTTATGATGAGATGAAGAGAAGAGGTTGGATTCCAAACCTTAAGGTATATAATTATCTAATTTACGTTTTGACAAGCGAAAATTGCTTGAAGGAAGCATGCAGTATTTTCAACAAAATCATGGAGGCAGGTCTGCAACCGGATTTGGAAACCTATAATTGCATGATACTTCCACTTTGTAAAGCACGTAAACTCGATGAAGCACACAAGATGATGAAGACGATGATATTGGGTGGTGTTTGTCCGTCTATTGATACATACCATGCATTTGTCGAGATAGAGGATTTCTGGGGAATATTCAAGCTGATTGAACGAATGAAAGAGGATGGTAACAGGCCAAATCAACGCACCTTTCTCATAATTTTTAATAATCTTTTCGGATTGGGTGAATCAGAAAATGCTCTGAGGATGTGGAGTGAAATGAGTAATTATGATGTCATTCCTGACATCGAACATTACATCACAATAATTAAAGGATTGGCGGCGCATGGATGGCTTCCAAAAGCTATGGAATTTTATGGTGAAATGAAATTGAAGGGATTTGCAACTGATCCTGAATTGGAACAGCTCTTTAAAGGCTTTCCTTCGAATAACAAGAACCATTGCAGCAGAGGTAGTGAGGGATATAACTCCAGGAAACATGGAAGGAAGAGAATTCCTAGAGGTTTGAAACTTGGATAATTATATTTTTCATATGATTTGGTAGGCATTTTATCATATTAAACGCAATTTTTCTTTGATCCGATTGTTTGATAAGTTTTGCCTTTTCCTA